ACGGTATGCTACATCCAGACCCATTTCACATGCAAGAATACACAAAGACTCAAAACAAAGGGATGGAGAAAGATTTACCAACCAAATGGAGAGCAAAAATAAATAAATAAAAAGTAGGAGTTGCAATTCTCACATCTGATAAAATAGATTTTAAAGCAACAAAGATATAGTGATAAAAGGATCAATGCAACAATAAGAGCTAACAATCCTAACACTCAGATACATAGAGACTTAGACTCAGTGAGACAGAAAATTAATAAGGATATCCAGGACTCGAACTCAGATCTGGAACAAGTAAACTGAATAAATATTTATAGAGCTCTCCACTTTTAAATACACAAAATATACATTCTTGTCAATACCACATCACACCTACTCATAGGTTTAAATGAAATATTGATTGGCCATTATTAATACCCATGTTTTAGAATAAAGCAACATTTCTGTTCTCTCTCCCTCTTTTTCTTCCTCTTTCTTCCACTCCTTCACTCCTTTTTTTTTCTTTCCTTCAAAAAAAAAACAAAACAAAACAAAAAAAGAGAATGAAATCAGATTAGATCTGAACAGAAAAACATCTTCTCTGTCTGTGCCAGCCATTCTCAGGAAGGTAACCAGCAAATAAAATGGGCCACCTTCTTTCAAAAAAAAAAAAAAGAATCATTGAATTATACCTTTAGCATGGTTGAATTTTAGGATATGTTAATTAGAACTTAATAATGCTATTAAAAAGGTGCTGATACAAAGCAACAAAGATACAGTGGTAAAAGGATCAATGCAACAATAAGAGATCTTAATACCCAGATACATAAGACCCATAACGAGATTTAGACTCAACAAGACAGAAAATTCATAAGGATATCCAGGACTTCAACTCAGATCCGGAACAAGTAAACTCAATAAATATTTATAGAGTTCTCCATTTTAAATACACAAAATATTGATCAGCCATTATTAATACCCATTTTTAGAATGAAGCAATATTCCTGTTCTCGCTCCCTCTTTTTCTTCCTCTCCTTCTCTTCTTTTTTTACTTTTCAATATCCTAGTTCCTCACCTCTACTCAATACATTCCTCTGAACACCTGATTCCTTGTGATTCTCCCGTCCCACTGAAACCTCCAATCCATTAAAAAAAAAAAAAAGAAATTTTTGGTTGACTCTCTATACCTGTTAAACAGAAAGACTCCTCTTCCTGTTTTCTATTCTTTTTTCCACTTTTGTATTCTTTCCCTAAAAATAATTTGGCTTCTTTCCCACCACAAAAAAAAAAAAAAAAAAAAAAAAAAAAGATGCTGAGACAGAAGCCACCAGTTTGGAAAGGATAAGAGAAAAACATGTAACTGAAAGGGGACAATTGGCCACACTATAAAATTATTATAAATCCAAGAGAAAATGACCAAAAATATAATTGGAAAAAGATTAGGAAACAGGAATAGAAGGCAATTCTAATCTCAATAAACACATGAAAAGATGCTCAAAAAAAAAAAAAGCATACCTGTGCCCGATAAGCATATGCAAAAATGCTCAACATCATTTATCATTAGAGAAATGCAAATCAAAACCACAGTGAGACACCATCTCACACCATTAAGAGCTGCTATTATTAAAAAGTCAAAAAATAACAGATGCTGAAGAGGTTGAAAGAAAAGAAAATGCTTATACACTTTTGGTGGGAATATAAACTAGTTCAGCCATTGTGGAAAGAAGTATGGTGATTTCTCAAAAAACTTAAAACAGAATTACCATTCTACCCAGCAATCCAATTATTCGGTAAAAATCATTCTGCCATGAAGACATATGCACATGTATGTTCATTATAGCACTATTCACAAAAGCAAAGACTAAAAATAAACATAAATGCCCATCAACAATAAAATGGATAAAGAATATGTGGTACATACACACCACAGAATACCTCACAGCCATATAAAAGAATGAGGTTATGTTTTTTTCAGCAACATGGATGGAGCTAGAGGCCATTATCTTAAACAAACTAATGAAGGAACAGAAAACCAAATACTCCATGTTCTCACTTTTAACTGGGAGCTAAACAAGAAAAACAAAAGAGACACAAAAAGGCAAATAATAGACAACGGGACCTATTTTAAGGTAGAGGTGAAGGGAGGCAGGAGGGAGAAGATAAAAAAAAAAAACAACTGCCTATCAGCTACTATGCTTATTACCTGGGCGATGAAATAATCTGTACACTAAACCCCTGTGACGTAACAGTTTACCTATAAGACAAATTTGCAGATGTATCCCTAAACCTAGAATAAAAGTTTTAAAAAAGAAAATACTATAATGAAGCTGTCTAAAGAGGCCCCATAATGAATCTGAGAGATTGACATGCTCACTCAGAGTAAGAGATTTCCCCAGTCCATGCCCTGACTAGGACATGCTTGTTCAGCTCCCATCTGGTAGGACGGACCCTAAAAGTTTGGTGTTAATTGAATGTGCAACTGAGCATCAGGAGATCCTGGAATTCTTCCTGTAACTTCAACTAGAGGGGAATTCAGTTAAACTTTGTGCAGTGCCAAGTAACAGAATGGAGAGGAAATTGCATTGTTGTTGATGCCTATAACAGCGTTATATCCCACACCAATAATGGCCTGGGTTAGTGTAGACTTCCAAGTATCTTCATCTAGTATCTGCTCTTTATATTCTAAAACAGTATCTATGGGAACTATTTCAAAGTTCAAATTCATAATTCATGGAGGTGCCAAGCATTGTTAAAGAAATTATTTTATTTTGAGAGTTACAAAGAGCTGTGCAGATGTGAACTCATTGCGGAAGGGCCATTGGCAGAGAAGGTGACCTCTTTCCTAATAATGGAGAGATTTTAATGACTTGCCTTAATAATAGACCAGAACTCTTGGGTTAATGTCATTACAACTGAGCTTGCTCCAGATTTAACACCACGGAACATCTGTACGCCAGCTGAGGTGGAGCCATTGCAGAATCTCCATACTTAGCACCTTGATGCGTCTTAAGCTGGCTTATAGTTCCCTTGGATGTGATGCTTTCTACAAGAGCTCATCCTTTTTCAGTCACTTCAAGAATTCACAGACTTAATGCTTTATACACATAAAGATGTTGGGTTTTTCATTTTTATTTTTGTCATGCTCAAAAGTCACTTATTATTACCTGAGTGGCAACTCATTTCATAGTTGAGGTCAAAATTTTTATATTCCCTGCTATTTGATTTCTGAACATCAGCAAAATGCAGCAGTGTCTTTTCAAAACCCAAACACTGTGCACTTCAAGCTTGTTTTCATCTCAGTCTGAGTTAAACCCAAACCAGCAGCAGAAATGCTTAGTTACTTAAATAATGTACAAAATGTTTCAGATTTGTCAGATCATTTGTGTTAGTATGGATAATCTTATTAGTGATGAAATCTAGCATACAAATAGCAGTGGATGAGTTTGGGATTGGAGGTCCAGCAGTCCTGGGTTTGCTTCCTTTACTATTCCTTAACTCAAGTTCAGTGTTGCCTTGAGTTAGCTATTTAGACTAAATGTCAGTTTTCTGATCTGTAAAATAAAAATAATGGTATCTATCTGTAAGCTTGACATGATATGTATGTAACGTAATATATATGAAGCACTTAGCACAGTGCCTGACCCACAGTACACTCAACATCTATTTGATGTTTTTGTCATTTTGGTTAATAAGGTAAAAAAACTCAATCATCAACTGAGGTCATTAAGTGCCATGTTTTTTCACAAGACTTTTATTTGAGGGTATGTAAAGACTTTTAAAAAGTTCATCTCTTGCCTCCTTTGGAGCAGGCAGGAAAAAACAGAATGATTTGCAGTTATCCTAACCTAACCCTGTAATAATAAGTAGAAGTATGACCAAAGTATTAGGTAGAATAAATTTGCCTGTGTAATTTGGATCTGATTATGCCGTGTAAAGTCATGAATGTGAGGCTTGCAGGAACCCAGTGGATCCAGAATGGCCCTGGAATTCAGCCATAAAATGAACAAAGATCTCAAGCAAAACCGCTGGGAGTCCAGGCAAAGCAGCACAGCCTGGGGGAGCAGAATTTCCTGGGCAGAGCCCCTTCCTGATCCTGGCGTCCTCCCAGGAGAGCCCCACCTCGATGAATACACATTCAAGGATTCTAAAACACTTAAGCAGTTTCACAAACCCCTTACTGTGCATGAGTCTTGGGTGGGGAGGCACAGAACCTTCTGGCAGGCATTTAGACCACAACAATAAAACACCTATAAACCCCTACGACAGCGTAAAGAATTAACGCTGAACTTCTCCTAAAGAAGGAAGGAGCTAGGCCTCCACCTATTCTGAATTATATTGCAGTAGTCTCCTGACACAGGAGGCTGGCACTGGCTCTGAAATATCTTGTAGCATTTCTTGCCATTTGAAAGAGAGAATGAGTTAGATACGGTTCCAGTACTTTGAGTTCTCAGTGATGTTTTGAATGTCTCTGCTGTTGAACAATCTTATTGAGAAAAGAAGTCCCCCCTCAGTCAATAACTCATAAAATGTTCCTGGATAAAAGAATATGCGAGTGACAGGTTATTTCAGAAAGCACAGGGATGGGAAGAAAACCAGTTCTTCCTGGGATGGAGTTGCCTGAAGTTGCCCCCAAAGCCCTTGTGTGTTGAGTAAGAGTCCTAATTGTGAAGTTCAAAATCTTGCTGAGGAAAGAAAATGGAAGAAAAATGGGGACCAATGGCTCCAAAATTTCTTTTAGACAAAAATCCCAGCTCTGATGAGAAGCAGCCTGCTTGTAAATCTGCCTGACAAAAGTGTGAAATGGTCCCCAGCGTGCCTATGCATATGCAGCTGCTTGTTAAAACCAGAGCATTTGCCCAACTGCATAATAGTGAGCAATGCTTGCAACACCAAAGAGCCTCCCCTGCTAGACCAGCCCTTGGTCAATTCTAGTTTTCTTCCTTTCCCCTCATCACCTCCTTTTTCTCCCTCCCACTCTATCCCAATCTCTTTCAAAGGGATTAACTCCTGTAACACTTCAGTAGAGAGAAAAAGGCTTTACTTGGTGGCTTTGGGTTTACAAGATCGTTGGTGAACAATCAGTCTGTCTGGCAGGAAGGTACGCCCACAAACATTACAGGGAACCAACTGGCTCTGGGCACTTGTCCAAGCAGCTTCATTTAAAGCATCAAGATCATAGAAGCCTTTGGCTGGAAAGTTAAAGGAAAAAAAAGAAAAAAGATAAAAAAAAAAAGAAAAGGGAAAGAAAAAAGTAAAACGGATCAGTTTTTGTTCAGGAGAACCATATTCTACTTTCTATGGAAAATATTTTCAGGAAATACCTGTTGACTGAGTATTTTAAACAAATCATATTACTTTTGCCTCCAAAAAAGAACGTGCTGCTCACTCTTTCAAAGGTTGAGTCAAGTTGGCTAGGAACCAAACAGAGGCTTTTCACTCTTTGGGTTTTAAAAAGGGAAAGACATTGTTTTATGTGACATGATATGCATTCTTCACTAATTATTCACATCCTTGCACACACATTATTATCTTGCAAATATAACTTTTGGCCTTCTTTCAGTTGACTCTAAATATAAGCTTACGAAGGGGAATTAACATGTACTCGTATTTTCCTTTTCTGTACTCCTTCAGTGGAAATTTTTTAGAAGCCAACAGTGACAGCTGAGAGTGAATTAAGATGAATTATAGCTCTCAAACTTATCTCTTCATGGTCATAAACTCAGAGATTCTTTAAGTAATCAAAGTGGAGAATTCAAAGAGAATGATCTGACAAAAAGATGCATCTTTAAGAAAATAACAAAGACAGATGAGAAGTGTATAATCTTCATTGGCAGAACATAGGGAAAAAAAGCATATGGATTTATTTTAGAGCAACAACGTGGGATTTAGCTTTAATAAACCTTAGTTAAATAAAATGACTTTAGTACATTAAATTGACTATGTCTTAGAATCACTGAAAACAGGCCCCCAAAATGTAACAAGGCACTCAAAAACATATTACTTAGTTTTTATCTTTGGCACAGCATAGATTACTTTGTTAAAGCCTAGGCAATTCTCATGTGATTTCTATCTAATGATTCACACAACCACAGTGAACCTTAAATTTTTAACATGTCTGCTCCTAATGCTCACTTTTTTGCTCCATGGGAATTTAAATCCCAGCAAAGTCTAGTATTTCTTCTTTGGATAAAACAAATGTCACTGTCTGTGTAGGATATGAATGTGTATTTTGAGTGCTTTGAAAAATAAGAAAAGGATGACACTGACTTTGGCGTTACTCATATGAGTTTTAATATGAACTCAAAAATTCCAGAGTAGTCACTGACTCTCACTTGGAGGTGATTCATCAATTTCTAAGTGTTTTTGCATAGGGCTTTGACTTCAGACCAAGAAGAAGGGTTATTTGAACCCTTGAACAGTGAGTTCACGGGACAAAAATGGTAATGTGAATTCTTTTTACCGAGAGAGGAAGGGCATCTACAGAGATAGACATAACATGGGACTGAGAGGAAGACTTCAGGGAGGTGCAGTTACAGGACCTATCTTTTTCATCTGTAGGCCGTAAAGGAACAGTGAACCCACACGGGCTTTCAGACCAATCATTCCTCTTAATTCTAGCCTTCTGGTAGTTATGGACAAGCAGAGAAAGTAATAAAGATCGGAAGGGAAGGAAACAGATTTTGACACCACATGAGAATTGCTGGGAAGAAAGTTTCAATGAGGGAAACAATCTGTTTGTAGAAAATGCTTTAATTCCAGTAGCTGGTTGTTTTCATCTTCAGCTGTTTTCCCCCCTGTATGTAAAGTCCTCTTTTTGGCAAGGACTGTGAATAGCTGGGATCCAGCAGCATCTAGAATTTATCATACAATCTGGGCTCTACTTAGTGGGTTTTTACAAAAGTCTCCTTGTGTCACATCGCTGACACAAGTGCTTTGGACTAATTGACACTAAATTACCCCCAAGGTACTTTTCAGCATTGCAAATCTACGGTTACGTGGAAGAATGGATGAATTGAAAGATATTCTTTTTAAAACCAGCCTTGTCCTATGAGATGGTTTAGGGAATCCCCTGAGAAAATGACAATGGTCAAAATGTGATAAGCAAGTCTGAGCTTGCATGGCAAAAATATTCCCTTAACTATCCTTACACCCTTACACAAAGCAACAGGCTTTGTGATGAGGTCAAACACGGCAGCATAGCTTCAGTTTCATTTGGTTTGCACCATGCTTTACAAATAATTAACTGCAAAAAAAAAAAAAAAACTAGACATTTTATACAGATATCTAGATTTCTAGTTTATTTTGTGTTATTGAAAGATATGAGCACATTGGACTAAATTTCATAATGATAACACCAGTGGGAACTGGGAAGCTGCTTGCCTCCTTTACAGTGAGCTGATGCTCCACAGCTCATCATAGCTCCTGCCTCCCCTTTGTTGCACGCACAGACCAGTAGACTGACTAGTGGACCTGGTGAAAATTCAAGTCTGGTATCTCTGTTCTGTGAACAATAAGACACATTCATATTTGGAAACATGACTTGGGGTGTTTCCAAAGGTTTTATTTTTTTAAGTTTCATATATATATATATTTTTTTTTTTTTTGAGATGGAGTTTTGCTCTTGTTTCCCAGACTGGAGTGCAATGGTGTGAACTCGGCCCACTGCAACCTCCGCCTCCTGGGTTCAAGTAATTCTCCTGCCTCAGCGCCCTGAGTAGCTGGAACTACAGGCTGCGCCACCATGTCCAGCTAATTTTTTAAATATTTTTAGTAGAGATGGGATTTCACCATGTTGACCAGGATGGTCTCGATCTCTTGACCTCGTGATCCACCTACCTTGACCTCCCAAAGTTCTGGGATTATAGGCGTGAGACACTGCACCCGGCCTAAGTTTCATGTATTTTTAAAAGTTTAATTTGTTTTTAAGTATTTTATTATTTATTTTACAAAGGGTTTGATGATATGTGAAAGTAACTTTGGGAAATACAGTAAATTCCCATAGATCCCACTCATGCACAGTATTGCCAGGACATAGTTTCTTTATGTCTCAGCATCAGAAGACAATACTTCAGACAGGCATCCCAGAACTGTTTTTCTTGTTTGGCTGTAACCAAGGCAGTAAATGTTGCTGATTTTGGTTGTTTGAACAAGTAGAAAACAATACTTCTGCTCTTACTCTTTAGAGAGAAGTCTCCCCTTATGCACTCAAATCTTTTTTCTAGGAACTTACCAGTAATGGTTCTGACTTCTGGTTTTTTAGGTACTGGTCTCCTTAACTCTTTAGGCAACAAGTTGTTTTCATTATGCCATTTTCTCAGACATTGTGGCTCATGAATGCTAATAGATTTTGTTCCATATTCACGACCACAAATGTAGCAAACAACGGTTGGTGGACGCCGTATCATTGTTGGCTGCAAGTAATATAAAATATCTGTTACACAAAGCTTAGAATTGGAAATCATATTTTAAAATTATAATACACTTAAGTTTTCTGGAAAATCAACTTGACTAAAAAAATATCTCCACCAGTCTGGTGACTTTATCTTTCTGGCAATTAAAATATTAAATTATATTATTTGAGTAATTGGGATTGGGGTGAGTAGATGGGTTTGGGAGGAAATAAAGAAGAGTTAACCAGAATTCTTCATATTGGTACTATATAAATTATATTTTCTCATTTAATAAATATTGATTGAGTACCTTCTGAATATTATATACAAGTTACTATGCTGGGAGAATACAAAGATAAATCAGGCATAATTCCTCCTCTCAATAACATCAGACTCTAGTACACCCATACATTTGAGAAGAAAAATAATAAATGTCAATGGAAAGTTTATAACAGACATTGTTAACATTATTATGCCTGTCCACACTGATCATGTCAACAACTTTCTACTGGGAGCACTTGTGATTCTTTGCCTTTTTTGATCTAGAGTAGGCTCTGCCCACGCAGAGCAGCTCATTAATTGCAGATGAGAGTTAGTGAATAAATACCCAGCTTACTCACCAAATTTGATTTCATACAGTCTTCCAGAACTCCCCAGAGGGATTGAACCACAGTCACTTGTTAACACACTGTCTAGTCTTCATTCTTTTACCTGTCTCTCTTCCTACTCGGTTACTGGGGTATCCTGAGATCACCTCCCAAATAAAGTACCTGAACTCAAATTATTTTCTTAGTTTTCTTGTTCCTAGGAGAACCAAATCTAAGGGAGAGTTAAAGATAAGATGCAATAAAGAAATTCGGCTTCTGTCAAGGATATAGAAAAGTGCAAGAATCATTGCTTCCACCTAAACAATGACAACAAATTGAATAGCTTACAGAATCATAATTTTTGAGCCCATTAGAGACTCAAAGTTGCAAAATAAATCAATGAACAAAAAGTCTACCTAAGTTTAAAGATAGATCAATAGTACCAAGAAAAATCCTCCAAACTCCAAACTTTATATGAGACATAATTGTCTGCCACAAGACAAGGGCAGAGTAGGTGAGTGTAAATCCCTCTAAGGTGCAGGCATTCAGGGACTGTCTGTGTACACTCTCCTACTCACCGGTTCTTACACCCAGTGATAGGAGGTGACAATCTGACACAGGGGAGAGGAAGGGCATTGATGGAAGCCTCCATCATTTTAGGAACCCTGAGCCTGTCTAAATCTGAGGATAGAGCTGTAGAAAGGCCTTGCACAGAGTACCAGATAAAACAGTCTAATGCTGACTGAGGGGTAGAAGCACTAAAAGAGACTCCTTCTGTGTTTTGGGCATGTAGGTCTATAGAAAAATGCAACAGGAAAACTGAGACGATCTCTTGTATCCAGGCCTTATACCAAGTACAGGTGAGGGCAGTTTCCCACGGGGAAATTTAAAGCCTGTAGTGCACTGAACATAACTAAAGCAAAAACAAAGTTCAAACCCTGTTACATGACAAACGACACTGGCACAACCACTTATACTAACAGTCTGACAGAAGGGGCAGCATGCTTATTTCTGACTATGTGTATAATTTACCTCAGAATATACTGTCCTCTTAAGCACAATATCCAACATTTAATCAAAATTATACAAAGTGCAGGCACATACACATACACATACATGGAAAATAGGATTTCTCATCATTAGTGTAATACTAAATACTAAATATATAGCCAGACCAAGCAGTCCTAGATATAATACTGAATATATATAAAAAATTATTTAAAAATAACTGTACTAAATAAGTTAAAGGATCTATAGGAAAAGGAAAATAGCATAGGTAAATATATGAAAAATCCCAGTAGAGAGAAAATTATTTTAAAAATCCAATAGGAAATCCTAAAATGAAAAACATAATATCAGAGATGAAATATTAATTTAATAAACTTTTCAGCCAAAGCCCACACCAAAGAAAGAATCAATCTCAAGAGAAGATGATCCAAACTGTTACACAGAGAGAAAAATGGATGAAGAAAAAAAGAGGAAACACACTGAATGGCCTAATATGTGTATATAATTGGAGTGCAAAAGCAAGAGAAAGAATGGAGGAAAGAAATAGGTAAAGAGATGACAGCTGAGAATTTTCTAACATTAATGAGATAACAAATATATCCAAAAATCTAAGAAAAATCTAAGCAGAAGGTCTTTTTTGTTAAATGGAGCTAGACAAACATCAGAGTGAGTGTGAAAAACTGTCAAAGATCAACTTGAAAGTGAAAACAGAAAACATATATAGAAGCAAACAATAAAAGGGAGAATGATAAGAATTTCAGATGATTTCTCCTCAGAAAGAAGTGGAGGCCAGGAAACAATGGAATGACATTTTTAAATGTTGAAAGGAGGAATAAAAACACTACTGTGTCAATTTAGATTTCTATATCCAGTAAAAATATCCTTCAAAACTGAAGATGAAATGAAGATATCTTTGGCTAGACAAAAGGTGAAATAATTTATCTTTCATCTTTGGCAGGCTTTCTCTACAAAAAAATGTTAAAAGAAGTTCTAAGTGCTGAAAGCAAAATATTAGCTAGAAATCTGGTTCTATAAGAAGGAATTGGAATACCATAAAATAAAAATAGGTCAATAAATTAAAATAATCTTTTAGATAATATTCCCAATTTTTGTACCTATATATTACTAAATCTTTTAGATCATGGCTTTTTAAAAAATAAAAATATAGGCCAAGGCAGGTAGATAGTGAGATCAGGAGTTGAGACCAGCCTGGCTAACATAGTGAAACCCCATCTGTACTAAAAATACAAAAATTAGCCAGGCACGGTGCCACGTGCCTGTAGTTCTAGCTATTCAGGAAGCGAAGGCAGAAGAATTGCTTAAACCTGGGAGGCAGAGGTTGCAGTGAGCCGAGATCGTGCCATTGCACTCCAGCTTGGGTGACAGAGTGAGAAGTCTTCTCAAAAAGGAAAAAAAAAAAGAATTTATGTGTAAATATAAATTCATAATATTTATGTATATGTATACATATAGATAAATACAAAAAGGCTATTTAGGGAAGGAGAAAAACACTGATTCTGTTCTGGATCTGTTGAGTTTGACATAATTGTAGAATTTAAATAAATATGTCTAGCCAAAACAGGCAATATAGGCCCAAAAATTCAATATTCATTCATTTCAGAGCTATTTACACAGAAAAAAATTTTAAACCAGGAAAATTCTATTAAAAGGGAGTATGTAAAAATATGTGGGGAAAAATGGGGGGAGAATATTTATAGTAAAGATATTGGACAAGCGAAATTATAGCTAAAAAACATAGAGAAAGGTTCAAATTTGCAGTTAAAGAAACAGGGCATGCAGACAAAAGATTCCATTCAGAATCTGGAAACATTTCTGGTTTCCAGAAATATGGTGTCATCAACCTTGTCAGATGCTACAAAGAGAAAATGCTATTGAATTGAGTTATCAGTGGATTCCATACCAGTGACTTTTGAGAGGTTAGTTCCAAAGGAATAGTAAGGGTAAACGTTAAATTGTTAGGAGTTAAAAATTATGTCAAGGAAAAGAACAATACACTTCCAAAAAACTTACAGAAAAGAAACTTGAGAGATAAGCAAAGTGGAAGAAAGGTTGTTTTGTTGTTTATAGGATAGAGAGGTCTTAGGCAGAGGGGAAAAGATTATAGGCCCACAACAAAATGGGATAACTAAAAATCACAGAGGAGGCAGTAGAAGATGAGATTAAGGGTATAATTGGAGGTGTTAGCCTCTGAGAAAAGGGAAGAAAGAAAAGTTAGAGAAAGGGAAAGGTGTTTGTAGAGAAATGAGGAATCGGTAGAGCTCATACATGGACTCAGTCTTCTAAGTATGAGGCAAAGTGATCTTCACAGAATGAAGAGATTTGGATTCTTGGAAATTGAATAGTGAAAGATGCTGGGATTAGGCACTCTGGGGAATTACAAATGATTCAATTAGGGAAGAATATTCACTGAATAATGGAAAAGTCCTAGTTACCTGAAGCTGCAAGAAATTTTGTTGGAATTAAATGACCTTTTTTCAATATGCTCTTTAGTAGCACCAGGTGGCACGCAAACAGAAACAAATGAAGCTGACTGTGTGGTCTCCTTTGGGGAAAGAAAACTTGGTAAGTGTACATGTCTTAGAATCAGCCTACTTTTTACTATAACTATTGGGACTTTCACCTTGCATAAAGCAATATCAAAACCAGAAGAAAACACATTTATGATTTCTACCTACCAGAAACAAAAGAGATTTTAGATGAGTAAATCCACACTTAACATAGATCAAGCAAAAAGGGAAAATAGAGACTCCCTGGGTGACTGAAGTTTTTATAAAAGGGTATTATTGGAAGTGGAATATTTTATTCTATTATTCTATACTATTTTATGCCAATAAACTGTCTACATTGATCAAAATAACTAAGTAGTTGATCCTTCTTTTTCTCAGCCATATGGTAGGTTCTAACAATTGAAAAGTGACTTTAAAAATATTTGGGAAATTCAAGAAAGACTTAAGAGAAAGTACAAAGCATAAGCAACAATTTTCAAGACATTTAAATGTTCCTTACTAATTTTTATGTGTTTATTTATACTTGAAAGTTTAATTAAATGCAGATTTTTAGTTTAAAATGAGGAGTTATTCTTTTTACTTTGAAAATAGTGAATTTAATAAAATTCCATACAGAAAGTATGAGCCAAATCCAGTATTTAACCAAGCATATAAGCAAAATAAATGGCATGGGTCATAAATGAAGACATTCGTGTCACCCTGTCCGAAGGTTTCCTTTGGAAAACCCTGGAAGAAAATAGGCAGACCCAGAGGCCAGAAGACATGAACAGAACAACTGAAAGGGATGTGGGAGAAAATTAATACCATAAAAAGGCAAAGATGTTCTATATTATATTTTCCAAAGCTTCCTCCATGCTCTGTATTTGTGGATGAACTTCAGTTGAACCTGCAATATACTTCGTATTCTTAGGTTTTGAGCGTCGTACTCCTAAGCCATGCTCTAGTGAAGCACATACAACCTAGCCACAGCAGAAGCAGAAAGTACATCCACATGGGTCTGAACAAAGATAAGAAGACCTATTTTACTTTTTGCTGATTTTACAATTGTCAGTCTGAAACTTCCAGGGAAAGCTGAGCAACCTCCAACTTGTGGTTATTGCTACTGCCCCAGCTGCCAAGGTTTTCCTATTTGGCCTTTTTCTGCAGTCCAGGGTTTTCCTATTTGGCCTTTTTCAAATAGAAGTGGATATGTGGGGGATGGAGAGAAGGAACAGAAAGAAGAGACTGTAGCTCTGGCAGAAACAGCAGAAGGCCCCCCCGCAACCCCCTTAGCATATGTGTAGTCTGTAGCTTTCAGTGGCATGGCATAACAGCAAGGAGGGCAGTGGAAGTATACCCAAGGGGGTTATGTGAAGGCTGGAGGCCGTGTCTGTGGAGGGCCTGGCCAGGACCAGCCAACTCCAGGAAAGTGCTATCAAAGGAAGGCAAAGAGGAAGTTGATAAGTGTGAGGTTGCTGAAGAGCATAGAATTAGATCAACAGTTTTCATTTAACATTTCAGATAATATTTTGCTGGTATAGCATTACTTTTCTAACATCAAGGTAAAAGACATTTTTTATAAAAAGCTAATCACTAAATCTGTGTAAGTGCACATAAAAGTCTATCAGGGCTCATCACAATTTTTTTTTTGTCCTCTCAGTTTCCTGGGAAAGTTGATTTAGGCTAGATATAGACAGGCACTTGAAGACTTTAGGGAAAGCTTTTAACTTGAATCCACCAATTTTTCATATGTTTTCAATTATTTTTCTGGCCACTATTGGAATTATATTATTTTCCACACAGCATCTTTTTCTTCTGTTAATGTCTTTTCTCTGTCAGGAACACTTCATGTTCAGTGTTTTAGGCCAGGTTTGTGTAACACAAAGGGAAGTGGATATTTAACAACTTTTATCCTAATTATTGCATATAACCTGCATCCATCCGTTCATTGTTACTGTTTAAAGTAAATAGTCATAATATCACTATTAAAGCAGGGGAGAAAGAGTAAGGACCAAGGAAAGAGGCTGATTTGTTGGAGAACCTTAAGTGAGGTTTGGCTAAAAGAGAAATGGACATAGTTGTTTCAGAAAACCAAGACTGGAATATCTATATTTCAGATAGGTTAAAGTATCTCTAGATGACCTCTCTGATAGTCCAGACTAAAAGGAAACCACTGTGAAATATACAACTCAATAACTAACAGAGTTTATAGAAGGAAGTATGACAGGTGGTCAGATGGAAAAAATATTCCTAGCACTAAAATTATTGCATGAATTTTAATAAAAGATATAATGGAAACTAAAATGGAAGTCATTACTAGTAGTTTTACAAAATATCAGACACACTCCACATTTGTTCATTTCTTATACTAATTCTACAGAAGATATGAAGTGGTAACTTGTAGTGTGAAAGTATAGTTTTGTGATGTTATTTATAGGGGAGTTCAGAGAATTTGATACAAGAATCACCTTGTTAAATAGAAATTGGTAAGAAATGTTTATGGCGCAGTAGTCTTTGAAAATCTGATTAGCGTAATGGTGATCTCCACAGAAAAATGTGTATGTACACTGTTAGCCCAAAAAAGGGAGCTACTGGGCCTTTAGCCAGAGCCAAACTTTTTCTTCAAATAGATGATTTGTTGCTAATGGGGACCATTTGGCACCATTTAAATGGCTCAGAAAGTTCTGAGTTGAAGCATCCAAGAACTTATGAAATATACCATATCTGGCGTTAGAGTGATTCTAAGCACTGCTTTGCGTAGAATAGTCCTATTATATACCTATTGTCTTGGCTAATATTAATAGCTCTTCTTTTACTTCCTAAAATAACTCTGTTTAGTAAATACATGATATAGCCACTCTACCTCTGATCCTGTTTGAAAAGCATTAGCTAATATAAGCAATCAAGGAATGAGACAACAATGAAAAAACTAAAAAATATCAAGGTTGTACTGAAAGATTGGCAATTAATCTACTTACATCATAGGAAGCAAAATAACTATAGAAATTATAGCGGCTGTGCCCAGTGGCTCACTTCTTTAATCCCAGCACTTTGGGAAGCCAAGGTGGGTAGATTGCTTGAGTCCAAGAGTTTGAGACCAGCTTGAGCCTGAGCAATATAGTGAGACCCCATCTCTACAAAAAATCTAAAAATTAGCTGGGCATGGTGGCACATGCCTACAGTTCCCAGCTACTAGGAGGCTGAAGTAGGAGGATCATCTGAGCCCAGGAAGTTGAGGCTGCAGTGAGCTGTGTTTGCACCACCACACTCCAGTGTGAGCATCAGAGTGAGACCCTGTCTCAAAAAAAAGTTATAGAGAAGAGAATATAAAATTAATTATCAAAATTGGCAGGGGAAGGAGCAGTACAAAGAAGTTAATGACAGTGAGTTCCTTACCTTTCATGTGAAACAGTCAAATGAAGCAGTGTAAAATTAAAATACGAAGTTAATGTTTTGCAAATCCTTTAATAATTACCTTTTTAAAAAAACGTTAGTGGTTCCTTTTAAAAACTAAACTTTTAGTAAAGAAATATTATCCTGAAGTTCAGCAAAATTATTGGTTTCACTTTGGTGTCTTTTTGTCAAATCCAAGTAAATTAAATGTATCTCTACAAATAACAACTTGCATAAAATTATCTCACTTCTATGAAAACGTATACATGTCTACTTATGCATGTCTGTGTACATGGATGCCTGGAATGATAATCACTAAGGGCAAATTAGGAGATTCTGCAGTAACTTCTATACTTTTTTAATGGCTTGAATTTTGTAATGAATTTGTGTCATTTTTATAATAAAAAGCAATAAAAAAGAATACCAGCTCAAGAGTCAAAACTTAATCTAGATTAGGTAATAAAATCAGCTATAAAGGTAAAATAGTGCAGACTAAATTACTTTCTGAAAATTCCTTAAATAACTCATAAAAGTTATTCAAAGCTTATGTATAAAATACAGTTTAGTATTATAATGAACTAGTAGTTGGAATTAGCATTAATATTAGGGATGAATACGGCTTTCCTTCACATAGCATAAAATTACAATGCTATGGCATAATAAGAAATGTATACTTGGTCTCTGCACCTACTTCCTGACACAGAGCTCTCAAAACCCTTATAACTTCTTGAATGATATAGGAGCTTTCAAAATGATATTTGGTCCTTTCCCTCTGTTTCTGAAACAAGAGCTTCTAAGACTCTTGGAATCCCTGGAAGTGATGAGTGCCTTTTTGTATGCTAAAGAATGACTGGTAGCTGGGATCCCCAGACAGCTTAAGGATTCAGATTCCAGTTGGTTGCCAGAAAGACCAAGGCCTGATCAGCAGTCTGGAAATTTCAGCTCTACTCACTGACCTCCGAGGAGGGAAGAAGGGCTGGGGATTGAGCTAATCACTAATGTTCAACGATTTAATAAATTATCCCTATGTAATGGAATCTCCATAGAAATTCCAAATGAAAGGGTTCAATGAGCCTCCAGATTGGCAAACTCCTTGAGGTTCTGGGAGGATGGCACACCAAGAGAGGTCACAGAAGCTCCACGCCATCCGAACCCCATACCTTGCCCTATGTACCTCTTCATCTGGCTGTTCATCTGTCTGACTTATAGTAAACTGGTAACATAAATAACACCATCAAGTGTTTCCCTGAGTTTTGTGACCTGTTATAGCAAATTATTAAACATGAAGGGAGGAAATCCATGGGATTTCCATAGAATTCCTGGGAAATCCAATTTCTAGCCAAGCTGACAGAAGTATGAGTAACCTGGTGACCCAGTAGTTGTGATCAGCTTCTGAATCTGGGTGGTTAGTGTCAGATTGGAACCATAGGACAGCACTCAGTTGTCTAGAGAATCGGAGAACTGGTGGTTGCTGTGGGGGGAAAAATCCACTCATTTGGTGTCAGAAGTGTTGTCAATAGAGAACATTGTTCTTTTAAACACAAAGTAAAATAGATGTAGTACTTTAAGTTACATTATTCCAAGACATTTTATTTTGCTAATTGTTTATAGTTGAATACATATCAGTTAAATAATTGCATGATGAAACATAATTGAAATCCTA